GTGGAGATTTGTGGGGCAGAGGGGTGGGGGAGGGATTTTCAGAGGCCAGAGGGAGGATTTGGGGGCACTGGCAAAGAATGGGGGGAGGAGATTCTGGGGGGCTGGTTGGTGTGAAGCATTTGGGGGATACTCAGGGGTTCCCTTTCTGCTCCCCCCCCTCCCAGGAGCTGGCAGAGTTTGAGAAGCTCCCAGACCAAGTGCAAATCAATGACCAAGGTTAGCCCTACCCCTGCAGCCCCCTTCTATCCTTGCAGCCATAGCTCCATAGGGCTGGCCGGGAAGAGGCACTGGAGGGCTTTACGCTCTCCTCTTCTCCCCCCCCTCCAACCCCTGGGCACCTGGGTTTCATGTTCCCTGTAAGCTGAGCACTTGGATGGCTGCCCAGCTGATAAGCAGCGTGCCCCCAGCTGGAATCATGTGTTTCTCCTGGTGGTTCATAACTCCATATGGCTTGGTGCACATAAATTTTATTCTGCATATGGATGGAAAAAAATTAAAGGGAACATTGCATGGGTGTGCTCCCCCTTTCTTTTGGGGCAGGTGGGGACGGAGGCAGCTGGCAGGGGAAAGCGTGGAAATGGGTTTGCTGATGCCCCAGTTTGGGGGGGCTGGGAGAGGAGGGGTGCTGCCTGTGAGTGACAATGGGGTTCTTCCTCGTCCCTTCCTCCTGTGTGTGCCTACCCCCGTATCATCCCCAGTGCTCAGAGAAGACGGCTTTGCCAATGACCCTTTCTACAGATGTCTGGTGGCTGAGGTCCCACCCGAGTACCGGAGTCGAGATGGTAACCCCCCAGCACCCATGGAAGGACACCCCCAGACACTAGTGGGGTCTGGCATCTTGGCACAGTAATGTAACTTGGGGCACCCCAAAAGGCCAGAGTGAGCCCAACCCCACGATGGACCAGGGCCTCCCACAACTAGATACTCCGCTTTCTCCTGATGCACTTAGATCCTCCCCAGCCATCTCTGACCCAGCTCTGTATCCAGGTGGGACAGAAGTAAACTTGGGAGGTACATTTGGGGAGGGGGAATAAGAGAGACAGTTAGAGGAGGGATTCAAGAGAGTCTGGGGGTGAGATTTTTTGGGAGGTTAAAGGGATCATTTTGGGGGAAAGGTCCACATCCTCCGCTTTCTCCTGATGCACTTAGATCCTCCCCAGCCATCTCTGACCCAGCTCTGTATCCAGGTGGGACAGAAGTAAACTTGGGAGGTACATTTGGGGAGGGGGAATAAGAGAGACAGTTAGAGGAGGGATTCAAGAGAGTCTGGGGGTGAGATTTTTTGGGAGGTTAAAGGGATCATTTTGGGGGAAAGGTCCACATCT